CTCTCGCTAGCGATCCCTCCCGACAACTTCGAGAAATCGAGCTTCTTCTTGCTTGGCTTTCCATCGTATTGGTTCTTATATTGGTTCTTACCTAAATTTGGAATGATGCTCCATTGCCCTGATAAAGTTGTGGGCCACCGTATTCCTACTGCTCCTCTGCCACAGTACGCTTTCAGCTTCACCTACAGCTCCCTCTAACCCGGAAATTCGCTTCAGCTTAGCATCAATCGTTGTTCGGGCTCTTGTTTTTCACGCTTTCACGTCATTCAATCGACGCCGTTTTGCTTCGCTCTTAGCCATGGCTTTAATATGACGCTCGTCGGCTGCCACATAACCTGCCTTCACTCTGTGGAATAAATCCTCACGCTTTTCTAGAGAACCGGAAAGGGTTTTTACTTTTCGAGGATGCCGAAAATGTCTTCTCTTGTTTTTCGAGCTGTGGAACGTGACGGGGAGCTTTGCCCTGGGGCGTTGCTGGCTGTTCCGAAAGGAAACTGAGGGTTGGGAAGGAGGATTCGAGTGGTCCAGGGCCTGCTCCGCTCACAGCTTCTCCTTGAAATAGAACTTTTTTTTGACCGTTTCCTTTGCGCCCATCAATGCCATCTCGAAATGCCATTGTTTGGTTAAATCTGCAGCGAAAGGGACGGGCTATTAATTTCTGGGGCGTTTAAATAACCCCTATGCAAAAGATGGAAATGACGTCATTTAAAGTAAAAGCACCGCTCTTATACAAGATCAATGACCGCTGAGCTTTCCCTGCTTCTGGAATGAGAAAAAGCTTCAATCTTCGTTGCGGAAAGCCCAGTCTTGCACAGGGGACCCTTCGAACTCTATTTCCACCTGCAAGACTCATCGGCCCCAGGGGTATCGTATTTGAGTGGGGAAGTAAGGACAAGGACGTACTTACACGAGTAAGAGAGTACCCTCCTTCTCATCGGCGAGGATTTCCGCGAACACGAGTTGAGCAAGGATAGGAGGCAGTTAGAATGGACATTGGCTGAGTGGTTGTACCTAAAAGCGGCGAAGTTGATCGGAAGAGAGGGCGGGGGCGCACTATAGGGGGGGGGGTCTTGAAAGGGGCTGTTTTTCGAACGACTTGACTGTTATCCGCGCTAATAGGGGGGGGCTCTTGAAAGGCTGTTTTCCGACGGCTTGCTGTTATCAAAAATAGGTTTTTCCCCAAAATTTTACTTACCGTTTCCATCAGTTCTTCGGAGAAGTTCATCTTCAACTAAATTCCAATGAAACCTAGCTCGCCTGAACCTTAATGTGGGTGTGCCCCACGTAGCCCTGGGGCAGCCGAGTGTTTAGCTAATCTGAAACCAACCAGTAGAGCATTTTATGTTGTGGACGTCCAAATTATACCAGAAATGTCCCATTTGGAAAAATCAATAGTCCGAGATCCATTGCCCGAATGCAGGTGGGAACGGGAAATCGTGAGAAAATGCAAATGTACTTGTATAGTTCATAGGAAAAATGTGAGCAGCTAGTATTTATTGTCCAGTCATTGAATTTCACCTCATCCATTTCTATATATTATCGCGTTGCGTCGTCCTTATCGATCGCGTTCATCTTTTATTGATTTCTTGAATCGATTTTTGCAGAACGATACGATGAGATCTGTTTTGGTATTGATTGCGGTTAGTATCGCCTATGTGTCAGCTGAACGGCCGAAGCTTAAAGACAGTACAGGAGCATTTTTAGTAAAGATCAGGTACATTTTTATCTTTTTTTTACCCAGAGCTAAAGTATAGACTTGTTCGCTGTGGATGCTGGGGCGTGTCAGGGGCTCGGTTTAGCGCGGCGCCAACCGGTTTTCTAAGGCAGCGTTCAGACTTGTAGCACTGCAAGTGTGGCGCTACGTCGCGCTACAACTGGCGCGCTACAAGTCTGAACGCTGCCTAACGATTAGTGTCGCCCACTCTCTCCAACAACTGGTGGAGAAAGGGTTGGTGGTATGCTGAACTAAGCCCGTCTAACACTCCCCAGCAGCGAACAAGAAGATCAGGGCTGCCGCCCCCAGGTGGTCGCACTGCCCCGTCTAACTATTTAGCCCCTTTTATTCTTCACTTTTCACATTTTTACTAGTAGTAAACAGTCTCGTGCTCCAATTGACTGGACATTTATTGATTTCAGCGACATACCAGTTGGTTCATGCGGATCTGATTCGTATTTCGGACTGGGTATGATGAACGGTAGTCTGGAGGAGTGCGAAAGGTGGCAACTTACCGATCCTGTAGCTGTACGAGAATACGAAGAGTATAAATGCAAACATCTTCGAGGTTGGTCAGCGGTGTTTCTGCAATTACAGACTTTTTTACAGTATCTCTATAGTTCGTGTGATTATTTGCGATACCAAGACTGTCTAAAGCTTTAGAAACTTTGCACTTTGAATTAAAAAAATTCTATAAAAAATTCCACTCGTTCGTAGATAGGCGGGCAGGTCGGGCTATTGATCGATATTGATTTTTCCTTGCTTTATGTACCGGCTAGGAAAGACTTTAACAAACAACTGAGCATACTTGGCACTGTAACATCAGAGCATGGCATCGGTATGGGAGAAATTGCGTTGTCGGACACCCCCTCTCCCCACATTTCTACCTGCAGTACGTCTCGTTTCCTCATCGTACTTATAATCTTCTTAGATTTTCCCAAATTTCCTTCCTTTTTCCAATTTTTCCCCTAAATACTGCCTTGGAGCGGGGATAGCGGTCGGGGGAGGGGGATGCCAGCAGCAAACAACACTACTTGCAATCATAGGAAGTTGTAGTTGTGAAGGATTTTG